CCTCGGCATTAAGGGCCACGTTCATGTGACGGGACATGCCAATCAATGGGCTTAAAACGTAAGATGACCGTAACATGGCTCTGGCCTGGACGGGACCCGACCCATAAGCGGATTGAACTCACTCAAGGGCATCCTCAAATTTGGTACTCACCCTTCTAGAAAAAAGCTTTGCCAAATTTCACAAAATGTTAAACCTCTGCACAAAGCATTTTCTCATGCTCTGTTGTTCATTTGCTAGTGGACAGTTGGACAGAGTTAACTAAACTTTTATTTCACTAAAACCTATCCACGCAGTTTGTATTCATCAGCTGGAGTACACTAACATATACTCCCTCCGTTCCTAAATATAAGTCTTTGGAGGGATTTCACTATGAACCACATATGGATGTATGTAGGTGCATTTTATAGTGTAGATTCACTCATTTTGCTCCGTATGTAGTCCATAGTAAAATCTCTGCAAAGACTTATATTTAGGAGCGGAGGAAGTACACTATTTGCATGGCGTTGCAGATGCCAACAGTACGGTGTCACCAGAATCCATTTTGTGTGCTTTATGTCACATCAAAGCTTGTGCCACAACAATTTTAAGAGCATGATAGCGCTGGCAAGTAAAACCGCATGCAGCAGTAAGAACCAGGCTCACGCAATGGCAAAATCGTGCGACTCTCACGGGTGGGCAGAAAGATTTCAGTAAAGCCTATGCAGCTATGTGGCAACATTATCAGGAATTAAGGACTGTGATCGGTATCCCCAAAATTTATTGATACTGGGACTTCCAGTATCGACTACAGGCAGAGTATGTATGCCTCTGGTACATCGTTTTTTCCCGGCCTTTTCGAAGTATCTCAGCTCCATACCAAAGACTAAACTCTGTTGCTTGCGCTTTGTATATATGAGTTTTCGCCTATCTTGGAAAATGTAATCTACTAGATATGATATCCATCACGGTGTCTGACTCAAGGACCGACTATAACTTCCAAGAGAAAGTAACAGTTATAGAGTCTGGGCTCTGGGCACTGAAGATCAATTGAGACTGCTTGGCCTCCTCTGGTTCTTGACTTGACTTGGTGGTGAGCTTCAGAACCGCGCACTTTATCGGGTCTCGCTCTTGTCAGCTCCGGTTGAGACTCTTGAACACGAAGTACCCGACACTGCCGATTGTCAGGATTATCAACGGACAGATGGCCATGTTGATTCCTTCCTGGATCCGGTTCCTACTCATGGCGTTTCCTTGGCGGGTCAAGACCAAATGCTCGTGAAGCAGGTTGGTGAGGTTGTCAAGCTGATGTATTACTTGGCGCTGACCCCTTGATAAGACCGTAATCTGCTCAGGAAATAAACCATCCAACAAAGTGAAACACCAAGATTTGTACACAATAATGTGTAATATTAAAGAGCAAATGTTTAAACAGCACAACGGGTTCAAATTGTGTATAAAAAAATTATACAGGTCAGGAATATAAATCCACTGACACCTTTGCTATACAGTGTGGCATTTACACTCTGAAGCCTGATCCAACATTCATGTTACATCTACAAGTTGCTAGTTATACGATGTCACTATAATAGTTGAGCTTCTTCATGTAGATTTGGTAGAGACAGGTTCATTTAGGTTCGGTCTCCAATTTATCAAATTGATTTGGGCCAACCAGCGGCAACCGTAACACTGTGATACTGTTATCAAAAGCTGAAGTCTCACTG